TACTAACATCTACTATTGGGTGCAGAAGTATTTTGGTTGTATTTCATGGCAGTCCTACATAACTTGCAGCTGACAGTGAAATTAAAGCATTTCCATATTAACAAAGCATATTTGTCTTCTGCTTATTTTGCACAAAACCGCTCACTATTGCTTCTTCTACAGCCATATTTCATTTTGAAACCCCAGCACTGTTCACAAATAGTTAACAACTGCCGACTAGTGGATAAACGGCTTGACTGGTTAAAATGCATCCACTTGCAGTGTTGCACTGCTATAAATCACCACGATTTTGGGCTAGTTGTTCTCTGACAGCAATTTCAGGACTAAGATAGCAGAGCACACAGTGTGTAGCTAACCATAAACTATGACTGTTACCTGAAAGAGCAATCAAATAAATTAAATACTGGCATGAACACGGCAAGTATTGGAACCAATGGCCCACAGCTGTTGTAACATCTTGGGGAATTACTGCCTTCAACAGGCTAAGCGGCCCAAGGCTAAAAACTGCACATCCTAAAACAGCCCTTCTATCCTGAAACTTTAGTGACATCATAGCATAGACAGATTACAGAAGGCTAGTCAACTAGAACATGCAACCCCTAAAATATTATAAATATTAAGAAAGATAAGAGGTGCCATTAGGGCAGGAACAGACCTGGCGTGAGGAAGCACCAGTCATCGGCCATCCATCAGAGAATGGACAGCATGCACGTTAGCAAGCATATGGCTAATTAATTCCTTTTAGACACTTGAATGGATGATGTGCTGAATGCAGGCAGTTCTCTGTCCTCTCATTAGCTGTCTAATTACTCTGACACCTCTCTCACAGGGGGAGAGGTCACTGTGCGAAGCCTGGGCCATGCTTCTATGGAGCCTTTTCATATCGGACCAGACTGCCATCGGCACAATGGCAGCTGATATGAGAGAGAAAAGAGGTAAGGAAATGGGCAGAGACCGGAAGCCATTTGTTTGTACCACAAGCTGATTGAAAACAAGAAGAAGATAGCATGGTCAAGGGATGGTCGCACTTTCAAAGATAGCCGGTGGTGAGGTAGCGCTTAGTGGGTAATTAAATCTGCTGAGTGGCTTTTGAAAAGATTTTCCCCTCTCATTAATTCATTGATTGCTAATGATAATGAGATTTATTGGGTGTTCATGTGACACTCACACACTTGCATTCACACCTACACACACAAAAGAGGCTAGTGAGAGACGTGACCAGCTCCTTGGTTGTCCGTTGGCTCTGTGACTGAAGGTGAGGCTCTTAACTTTTCAGATCTCATGAAGACACTTTTCCTAGTTCAGTTCTTTTCTACAGTTCACTGAGTCCTTGATCAATTCTTAGTCTGTAAATTAAAAACAGTAAAAAAGCATATCCTCAGCAAGTATACCGATCACTATATCAAAAAGTCTTGAGTAATCTTTCACTTTCCGACTGAAGCTGAGAGGAATCTGTCAAGAGTGAATCATTTCTCCAGACTGTCTTCCTTCTCGTCTTGTGAAAAAGTGTGTGCGTATGTGTGTGGCTGACCACTGAAGTGCAATCTCACTCTATTCTTTGATTAAACGCCCATGTTTCTGCAGGCTACCGCTGCCTAATCCAATCCTGTGCAACCAACCCATTTTATGGACACAATTTTAAGCCTTAGCAGATAATGTAAAGGCTTTTCAATCACAAATTCTAAAATTTAGTCCGCAACAAGGAAGCTGACTGAAGTCGCCTAATATCCCAAAACATCCCGTTGACCAAGCTTATGCTACCAAATATCACTGACCTATCGATACTTCATTTGCAGATGTTTTTCCGTAAGAATTGTTATAACAGGCTTTACAGCAAAACTCCCATTTAATCTAATCAGAGAAAAATTTTGAGTACGTTATTGATTTTAAGGGATGTTTATTTTGAATGCGTGTGAAAGGTCACCCTGCCAGGATTAATAGGATGTAGTTTTCTTTCGTCATGTAATCGGGCTAACATTATGGTGGTATGGTGGCATATTCTTTGCTGTTGTTTCCAACTTGCCTACCTTCTAAACTTCTCTATAACACAGTCTATTAGCGTAGCACTTTTAACTGGAAACTCAACGTTACATTGCAACTCCAAACCAAGACTGTGACAGTTTCTCTTTAGATTGAATGGGATTTTGTGCCAATGCTCTGTAAACCTTGCAACAGTTTTTACAAAGGAACAAGGGAATGTTCGGAGGACTCCTTTATAAACGCAAGACGTGCTGCATGCACTTGTTAGGGGACAGTTTAACGCATTTAATTGACAAGTAGGTAAACATGAAGCAGCTATGTGAGACAGTTTAAAAGACAATTGCTAAATGTTTCCAAACTGGCATATATATTTACAAATGAAAACTCTTTCATGATTAGACTGTGGTAATTTTTGTGTTAAATGTTGCAAAACACCAAATGTTTGAAACTAGGCATCCTTGATATTGCTTGGTGTTTGATATTGATTAATCAGCTGTGGATGAAGTATAGAGCTTTTTTGTGTACATGTTTTGTTAACTTAAACACATGAAACATGTTTAAAAAAAACTTCTCTGATCATGAAAAAATAGCATCAGAAGCTGAAACAGGTTGATGGAAAACTGGAGACAAAAAAAAACAAAAAAACGAGGCAACAGCTGAATGAGAATTTGAGCGTGTGGGAGTTCAATCTGAAGGAGGTTTCGGGTTGGGCAGTAAGATGAGGGCCCAGCGTGAGCAGAAATGAACACAGAGGGAAGCTGATGACCTTCAGATGCGGAGGACATAATGACCTTCTTAATGAGAATGCCACCACGGAGAAAATGGCACCCACCCCCCAACTTCCTAAACCACCTCCCTCCCTCCTTCTTAAACGAACCGTTTCATGTGAACTACACCCCAAAAAAAGACGAGAAAAACACACACACGCATACGCACACTTGTGAGTCAAAACATCTGTCAGGAGGTTTAATTGGGTTCATTAGACAACACAGCTAGAGTTTCCAATTACAGGCCTCCATAATTAATTGCACTTGAAATTAACTATATTTTCTCATCAGCTTTTAATTAAACGTGGCCCCTTGTTCTTGATTGGAATTTCTTGATTCTCAGGGTGAGCTAAGGTTTCCTACATGTTTACTCGCGGGTGCGTGGGGAGATGGTCTTGATTTTTTGGGTTGAGTAATTACATGCAGTAATTAAGCCCCATCAGCCTGGTGGGCTTCTGCGAGCTCCTAGCGAGGTCAAAACGGAAGTCAGCCGCAGACACTCAACTTTAAGCACAGTTCCAGCCTTGCACTGCTCATCTAATCTTTTCCACTGTGTAATCTGCCTGTCATCTTCAGTGTTAGCAGATAACAGCAGATTTTAATGTGGATTTTGGGTTCCAAACCACAGTGACAAACTGCCAAAAAAAAATCATTTAGACAATTTTTGCAGCCAAAAAGAAATGAATAATACTACTTTGGCATCATTTAGCCAGAGGGGGGAATAGAAATTATGTTTTTTTATCATCATTCCACTATGATGCATATTTATTCTCAGTGACGGAACAGCAGAAGCTATTTATCTCTCTGCTGATGGAAAACTGTTGCAGAAGATATGTGGCTGTCTCCTCATGTTCTTCGCACTTGTTTTTCCCATTTTTTCAGCTTCACAAAATCTTATTTCATTTCCGATTCCCTTTTCAACATAACTGCGTGATCATTTATATGCTAAATAGGTACACATGTTAATGCAAACCATACGATGAAGTTTATCAGAATGTATGGCGTGCACCAAAAATCCACATTTGCAGTGTGTTTGGAATGAAGGAACAGATACTCAGCTTTTCATCTGACACTTTTTTCTCCCTTTAAAAGATCACAAAGGGGAGGGTGTGAAAAACATGTCACACTGAATAACAGGTTTACAATCACACACAGAGGGAGTCTGACTATGACAAGAGAAGGCTTAGGTAAGATCACAAGCATTACCTATCCAAACAGGATCATTGACTGCTTATTAGTTCTTTGGAAAGCCACTATCAATTAAAGACAAAATACCTTAAGGGTATGTATTTAAAACATTGAGCAAGTAAAATGCTTGCGAGACAACTGTGAGACCTTAACAGAAGACAAACACTGCTTTAATAAGACAATATGCATTCACAATAAAGTTAATTCGTGTGCAAGTGTATTGTATTGACAAACATTTAATGGAGGGTGCTTCTCATGTTGGAGCAGCAGGCATTAATCCTTAGACGCTTGTTTTTTTTTTGTTTCTCTGTTTCATGTCAAAATATCTTCTGTTGTATGTACGAACACCAATGCAGTATGGATTCAAAGATCAGAATCACTTATAAAAGAGCATATTCACTTGTTGACCTACAATTAAGAAATTAAATTCCGCCAGCACCCCTATGGGATTCTAGTAGTGTTTTAGGACTTGGCTAACAGTGATATTTTACCTTGTGTGCAGCATTCAGTAAAGAGTTACTGTTTTCCATTCTGAAACCTGGTTAGATACCGATTGATATAGCCTATACAGTCAGTTTTCTCACACATTGGAATTCAAAACATGATTAGTTGATTCCACTATCAGTTTCTAATTATATTGCTGTTCATCTGACATGTCAGGACAGTTCAGCATCTGAAGTGCTAACCAATGGGAGAGCTCGCTTAGCTGTATCTGCTTATACCATAGAGGAAAAAAAAAGAGTAAAAATCTTGACTGGATAATTTTCCATTAGCCATTTCAAGTCTTTAACCATTTTGTTTTCAGCCAAAACTTAACAATGAAATGAGAGTATTACTACAATACTTGCAAAGTTAAAAATACAAGGAGTATGATAATTATTTTAAATAAAAATGAACTTAAAATCACAGACATGTAATTGATTCACAGAAATAATTTGGCCTCCTCTCAAGGCCTTGAGGGTTCCCCACTGATAAAACTACAACATGTTTTTGTTATCACTGGTTTCCAAAGTTCAATGCATTTTTAAGTCCTGGCAGTACTATTATGATGAGGTATCAACTCACCGATGAAGTATGCCAGCAGAAACACCAGGGTGACTGAGATGAGGATGGCACTGAGGGCAGCACATTTCCAGTTGAAGTGCTTGTAGGGCTTCTTTAGGCTGAAGGCGGGCCGGGAGAAGGTGGTACGGGGCAGCGGCCGTGGTGGGGGCGAGTACACCGTGCTGGAGGTCAGAGGGTAACCGGGTGACGTTGTGCAGTACAGTGGCGACGTCCCTCCAGGCTTGAACAGAAAATGTCTGCGAAAGCGCAATGAAACCAAATTGCACAAAGCACAACGACAACAGCCAGAAAGTGCACTGTGTTGAGATTAAGTGTTTTCCCCTCTGCGTTAAACAGTGCTTGTAGAACGAGAAGGGCTCAGGCCCCTTGCACCCGGTCAGCAAAGCTGTCGCTAAGCAGTTTCAGCAGCCGTTGCCATAGCCACCTCTGAGCCCCTAGTGATGGGGGGCATGAAGGGGAGGTAAAAACATTCCTGCCACCAGGGTTTGTTCTATTGAAATTGTGAATCGATATGGAATTTAATTTACAGCACGAATGACCACAGCGGATCCTTGTTAATACGGACCTGCGCCGTGACTTCTAATTCACCTCGGGAGGGTGTGTGTCAGGAGTGCCAAGAGGCTGCTGGATATATATAGTAGGATGAGCATGGAAAGGGCAGCCTATTTGCCCTTGAAGAACAAGGCTTGCTCTCTTTAAGGATGTGTAAGCTGCAGCAGGTACCTCTAGGTCCTGTAGAGACTGCTTTACTGACCGTATAGAGGATGCTCAGGGATGAGCTGTATGTAAATGTGTATGTAAGTGTATGCAACCTGATGTTATCATGTACAGAAAAGGCCAGCCTAATGTGCTAAAAATCAATTATAATTTCACTTGCTAAGATCGATCATGGTTAGTTCTGATGGAGGGTTGTGAAAAATGTGATTCATTTGACCTATCCAAGCTCCGCCCACAAACGTGTTCTTTCATAACAAATGTTACGATTCTGGACAGGTTTTTCAGAACACTGAAAGAAATCTTACCAATGTTGCTAATGTGGCATTTTTGCTATTCATCTTAACAAATTTAGATTCACTACGCAATACCCAGTTTCCAGTGTAACTTCTTAAACTCCAGGATTTGCCAGCGGGATCAAACTTCTATTATAACTAATAACAATTCACCTAGTTTGCATTGTAATCCATGCAGTTGTTGAATAATGCGCCTTAGGAAGAATAAGCCTGTTCAAATTGCTGTGCTACAGAGCTAGACTATGTTGTAGCTGATGGAAATTAGTCAGACTGGAAATGCTAATGATGAATTTGCTACCATGGTAATATTAGTTCAATGACATGAAAATACACCTAATCTATCTCAAGACACACGCGTGCAAAATAAATATGAATAAAAATTAATAACGCACTCTAAATACAAGTATTTTGAACAAAAAAATCAGAATGTGCACTCTAAGTACATAAGGGATTTCTTCTCTGTTGCTTGTCCAGCCTAGCAATGGTTGCTACAATAGCACATCTGTGGGCAGAGCCTGGACAGGTCAATTCAACAAACACATGCAACACATATTTACACAGAAACTGAAGGTGTTAACTTTAGTTTCACATTTCCATGTAAGCTAATGGAATGGAAAAACCACATCAATGCACAAAAGGTACCACTATGCATCATGGCAAAGCAGATCCTACTAGTCATGGCGGCTGCAGTCAGAGCATGCAACATACCCGTCAGTGTAAGCATCGTCGCGGCGAGCTGTGGCCAGTATGTCCATCTCTATAAGGTTGTCCTGTAAAGTCTCTAGGAATGTCTGCTTTGCTATGTTTCTACACACAGGTGGAGAGATGGATAGATGGAGCGAGAGTGAGAGACACGCGTGCAAGAAGGAAACACAGACGTGATCACCCAGCGACTTTACAGGCGGACGAAACCGAGTGGAGAAACTGACAGACACAGAAGAACGAAAATCAAGCTCCCTATGGAACTAAACTATTTGCTGAAGGAGTTTCGGCGTCCCAGTGAAAGCCTCCCCTTTCTTTCTGGACCAAAAAAAAAGTGTCTCCCCCCGACCCCAGCATGTACCTTGTATTGTACGACCCTTGCCCTTCTCTGCAAGAGTCCTGCTCCCCTCTGATAAACATTAGAGTATTCTGGCTCCTTTGTGGTCATGGTTAGAAGAAAACAAGGCTTCACATTACCATCCAACCCTTACACAGTTGTTCCAAGTGTTTTTCCACTTGCTATGGTTAACACAGTACATTTTTCATTAAAAATAATAAAATAAATAAATAAATAAATCACACATTATGCTGACAAAATCCCCAATAGGCAAAACGTTGTCCTATTTTGAGATTGTGTTTTTGAAATAATAAATAGTCTCATAAAGCGCAGGGTTATTAACATTCAGGAGAAAAACTCTCTCTCTAGACAACCAGTGTGCACTCTCTCTCTGGCTGAGGCACATGCATTCTATCTGCCCGAGCTCTGCGCCCCATGAGACTGCTGTTCCATAAGGGAAGGCTGAGATAATGCAATGGAGAAATGAACCATCGGCATGCAAAAGGACAGGCTCCGCACCTTTCATTCGACAAGAGAAAAGACTTGTTTTCCTCCCTTTCGCCCTCCGTTCCAGGCTACTAGCTCTCTTCTCATTGTCTCTCCCCTGGCTCACGCTCATTCGGTCATTTGTTTGGGCAGCAGGAGACGAATTAAACTTTTAATGAAGAGGAGGCAGGCCAGGAAGAGGTTCAGCACAAACGGGTGAAGGAGGGAAGGAAGAAAGGAAAAGAAAGCAAAAAGGGGACCAGGCTAAGCCCCAGCATCCTGAAAGTGTGTGTGTCCCTTTCAAGCTCATTCAACTAAAGCCAGCAGAGGGGACCATTATAAGGCCATTAACTAAAGCCCCAACAACAGGCCACGTTTTCCAAGCCCTTGTGGACTTTTCCTAATGGTTCCAATTTTTGTCAGAGGACCTCAGATAATTGATAGCTCTTTCTCGGATAGAAGGGAGAAAGGAGGGGTTGATATTGCCGATTTATTCGCTTTCCGACACTTCCTCTTCTCCCGCATGCTGGCTGGCATGACCATCTGTTCGCCTCTCCTCTGGGAATACCTGGTCCAGATTAAACTTTGGGAAAATCCGTGGCGCTTAATCAGTCATTATGTCGCTAAGTGTCCCTCCACAAACTGAAATTAACAGTCATTTTCCTGTTGAGTGGACCGCCATGCAGCAGCGATCATGTTGAAAATGGAGAAGAGTGAAAATCTACACAAAAAGCGGTCGGCAGCCAAATAAACCCTCAGTGTATGTGCTAGTCAATGTGATTCCTCACATCCGAACAGATACACTAAAGGAGACAGAACATCTAATAATGATTAGCCTAAAAGCAGTCACATCTTGTGACCAATACCGATTTTAGGGGCTGTTGAGTGTTGGTCCTTTTGTTGGGAGGTCAGGAGTTCGATCCCCAGTGATGCCACAGCCATCTGTGGCCTGGAGTCCAAAACTCTAGCTGGGCCACTCTCTGGACGAAGGGAGAGTGAAAGCTAGCATGTGCTTCCTCCGAAGCCAGCCATCACATCTTTTGGAACTGCCAGTAACGTGACATCAATGGCTCAACACACTTGGAGGAGAACACTAACTGCCAATTCTGCTATGCCAGAGTATCTGTTATGTATTGGTTAGCATTGCACTGGGTGGATGGAACTTGGTAGCATCGTGTGACAGGGGAGACATAGGTAGTAAGTTGACTTAGTCATGACTAAATTATGGGGAAAACTGGATAAATAAATTAGCTAAATAATAATAAAAGACCTAAATACTATACATAACATAGCATGGGATGAGTCTCCCAGAATCTTTCCAAAATTTCCTGTGGTCTTGGTTTTCTGCTAATTACTTTTTATTTTTCATTGGTTCTGTTGGTAGAAAAAGGTTAATGCTAGTTTTGGATTCACTTTACATGTATTTGTTATTTTAATCATGATGGTGGTTTGTATTTACACTTATTGAATCAGCTTGCATTGCTGTCAGTGACTGGCATGTGAAGAAGAAAATGTTAAGTTCTGTTAAGGTTTTTGTTTAACATGATTTTTGTAATGTGAGACGCTCATTAGAAGATCCAAGGAGGAACTAATTATCTGAGCTTCATCAGTGGAAACATCAGTGGGGTCTCAATATTAGTCTTAGATATGTTGTTCAGGCCCTAAAGGCGATCCCTGGCTTCATAAAAATATAAAGGTTACATCTTGCTTTCACAAAAATATGACTTAGGTGAACACCCCAATCAAACATGCAGACATGTCTTACAATTAAAGAAAGCTAGCAGAAGCCAGTTAGCATGATTTCATTTGCATAATGAGAACTGGCCTCCAGTAACGTCTATTCATTATTAGCAGCACTGGCACTTTCTGACTACAGTCTTCCTCTAAGCAAGTTTCGTTTTCCAGAGTTCTTTTTCTACATGGAGTTAAAATGAATAGTAGACGGGGCTTCTGGGAAGCGATGGGTTCACTAGCGCGAGCGAGCAAGGGTAATCTGAACATCAGTATGTATCAGTTCCCTTCAAGCCTGGCGTGACAGCCCTGATCTCCCTTCCACCATGCATGAGGAGCGGCCAGAACAACGCAAATAGACATCCGCTCACAAGGCGCTTGACTGATCTCCTTCATATAAAAGCCTCCCAAAGAGGCATACTTGAGCGCAGGCTGATGGGAGATAAATAAGGACCCCAGGCTGCAATCGTAAAGAAATAAAGCTGCCCTACAGGTGCCCAGATGCAATTATCTATATATTATGATCATATGCTATATAAGATCACTTTCTTAAGTTGTTTGGAGGAAAGGGAAAGAAAACAATGCTTTTCTCTTGTTTCAAAGAAATGGTTTGAAAGCATGATGGTCCTTAGACAGCCCTTTGAGCAGATGTCTACTGAAAGTCATTCTGCAGTAACAACAGTCAGTGCAGTAGCACTAGGGGTGTACTTGTTTTTTGCATTAGAAGATGCAGTATGGATGCATAAGGAAACAAAGCTGAATATCTCTAAGTCTTTCTTCCAAGATATTATACAAAATATACAGGCTACAATGCCACCTATAAACCCAGTATCAACAAACATACTGTTTATATGAAGCACCTAAACATTATAATCTGTACATATTAAATATCTGAATAATTATTATCGACTCATCACAGCAGATTAACCGATCATATAAGGCACAAAATGTCCTGTTTGACTTGACAATACAACAATCTCGCTGTTGCCTTGTGAATCCATACATCAATACTCATTGATACACCCCTATGTTGCACTGTGTTGATTCTGATCACTGTAACAAGCAAAACATTATGCATCATATCAGGCTATACAGACCTACTCAACATTATTGAACAAATGCCTCAGAATAAGAGCACTAATCAAGCGTCAGTTCCTCACTCTATATTCACTACCGTTCAAAAGTGGGGAATCACCAGTCAGAAGTTTGGAATCAATATTTTCACTAATATAAAACTAATTTGGTTGCAGGTGCAGGGTACTTCAAATATGCATATGTTTCAAATATGCTGGCCCTTTGCAACTTCACAGGTTTCAAATAATTGGTTGGAAAAAATCTGAAATATTTTTACAGCTTGAGATGGTTCTAAAATGAGAAAACTGTATGGCATCAAGAATGAAAAAGCCTCATATTTCAAAAGTGTGGATCAAACCTCAAAGTAGTTGAAGGGACAAAAACTACTGCTACATTTGTTTGAAACATGTCTACTCACCTTCTACAGAGGTGCTTTAGGAGATTCTAGATTTATAGACCCCTGCTGATGGTGTCTCTTGCAGGTGGGAGGAACTTTTGGAACTACAACTACTTTAGGGTGGATTTTTGGGGATGGGCTGTTCAAAATATTTTTTTTATCCACTAGGCGCATGCAGAAGGAAGCCAAAAGGAAGCTAGTTATACTACTAGGTGTATCTAATTGCAGCAGATTAACTGTGCTAACTCTTCTTCAAATAATCAATATGCTAGAGAGAATGGATTACTCAAATGATAGAAATGAAAGAAACAAGTTAAAAGCTGAAGTTAGCAGGGTAGCTGGTTATCTAGATAACGCGCCACAGTTTGGCCCCTTTCCTCTGGCTGAAAGGAGAAAACTTGTCAATTTTGTACTGAATAAAGACAGAATTTCAGTTTTCTTAACAGGTTAGTCTGACAACCAAGCTGCTAGCACGGCTGTACTTATCAGTCATAGCTCAGCTCAGCTATAAATCAGAGGATAGGCTAGCATTTAACAGTGGTTAACTCAGTGCAGAGATTCTGACTGCTTTATGTTTCTGTGCAGTGCATGCTGGGTACTGCAGTGAGAGAATACTGCTGAATGAAAAGTTGAAAGAAATCTAAAATCATAAATTCATGTCAAACTCGTGTCTGAGGGATTTGATGCTTTGGTACAAAATACTACATAACACAACAAATAATATATTATGAGACCATTTTTAAATATACATATTATTAAAGTTTTAGAATGGAATGACCTTTTAACCTACATAGAAAACTAAAATATAGTATTTATCATTTATCATCATTTATTGTCATTTATCACAACTGCTTGCTTTTCCTGGAATAACTAAAACGTTGTATAAAATATTTAAATGATCTTTCGGTGTCTTGTTTATAATGTTTAAATCTACAATTTAGATGTTGTACTTAAAATATGTGCAAAAACATTAATATGACAAGTGATTCCGATCTTTTGAATGTAGTGTCTTCATGTCCATTTTGATATAAAAGATGAAAAACAATGCAGGACGATCATTGTACTCTGAGACCTAGGTCTACTGTATAGTTCACGGTATGGCACAAATTGCCTCATTCAGCCTTATTATCTATCATTAAGCTCACCTATGACATCACTGTAGCTTATCGTTAGTTATCCTAAATGGATAAAAAGTCTTAGTCCTACCTGGTCTCCAGGGGGATATTACTGTTGAGGAGCCAGTTGTCTTGCACACTGGCAGAGTCCTGTGCGCTAGACGGTCCCTCTGGAGCGGCCGTGCTGTCGGTGGGCGCAGGGCTGGCGTTGCTGCGCGGGGTGTAGTTACTTCGGCTTAGAGAGCCCACAGAGGCTGCATGGTGCTGACTGGGGGAGTGCGAGTGGGATAGGGGGAGTGGAGGAGTCCGCAGCCTTGAATGGTTCTGGAAGGAACCGTCTACGAATGAACAAAAGACAGAGGAAGAGAGGGAGAGAGGGAGAAAAAGAGGAACATTAAGAGCTAACCTGACCAGCAAGCAAAATTTTTTATTTTAGCAATTCTAAATTTGATTAGTTATTGAGAAAATGATGCATCAAGCGGTGCAACAATTTATTCAATTTGATTACTTTGGCACTATTCAGATTGTTTTTTTTTAAATAACTGGATACAAAAATGTGACTGTTTACACAATGCTGGAATATAGACAATATATAAATCCTTATATATAATAATATATATATATATAATATATATATATATATATATATATATACATAAACTTTTTGAAGAATTTTACAATTGAACATGGCCCAGGAATATTACTTCCACCACAAAATGAGTGAACACTTTTTTTTAAATATTATTATAATTGATTATAATCAATTAATTAATCACCACCTTCAGGTGCATTAAATTTTTATATCCAGCCCTAGTTCTCAGTGCTTAGAGAATTTAGGCCATGTTCAGACTGCAGGGAAATCAGATTTTTTTCTCAAATCAGATTTTTTGAAACGACTGTCCACACGTATGTGCAATTGCTTAGATCGGATTTGTGTGTCCAGACATCACCAACCTATCTACACAGGTTGCTGCTGTAACAAAACAGGTGTCAGTAACTATGTAGCTATGCTAGTGCGGATGTAGGAGAGATGGAGATGCATCATCTCGCCCTCCAAACTCTTCAAAATTCTCTGGCACAAACATGAATCTCTGGCGCTCTTTTTGAACTCCAGCACTTCCGTCTGTCTGGATATGATGCCTTTGTCACATTGCAAGTGATGCAGAAGATACTTTGAAAACTGATTTGAGCATCCAGACTGAGATGCATCTTTAAAAATCCAACTGGAATTTCAATTTCAAACTAGGATATGCAAAAATGGGATTTCATGTGTGTTTTTGCCATCCAGACCATCAAAAATCAATTCGCATACAATCTGGATACGCCAAAAATCAGATTTGGGCAGGCAATATGAACAATGTCTTAGTCTGCTTTGTTGTCATAAGCAGAAGTACTGCATCTTGTCTAATACCACAAAATACTTAAAAAAAAAAACACACAGACACACACACACAACATTTGCCCATAATGAACTGACTTCGTAAGACTTGTTACTGCCATAGTTAGCCTATGTGATACGTCAAATAATACTGGGGTCATATCGGGGCAGGTTTAGGCTGCCTTAGTCATAAGGTTCAGATAAGCATGACAAGATTCAGATTCAAAAGCAACATGCACATGTTACATGTAATTCTGTGATCTGGGGTGATTTCTCCCTATATATTCCAAATAATGTTTCCATATGTTTCCAAATAAACGTTAGAGCTTTCACTTTTGGGTTTCAATAGCTGTTCTGTAATTTTACTATTTGTTTTTTGTAAAAGTTACAAAAGAAAAGCTACCATTCTGCACAAAAGAAAGCTGCTGTTCTTTGTCACAAGCTCAATGCTTGCTATTGCAGTATACACACACACACACACACACACACACATCATTTCTGGCAGCTGGAACCTGGCATACAGCTTTAGCTACCCGCACTGCTGACAATCTATCATTATCAAGTAGGCTGAATTACCAGTGTCAACCTGTTTGAAATTCGTTTCCATTATGAAGTGCTGTTCAGGTTGGTGTGTGCCAGCGGGTGGTTCCTCAGAGCCTGCAACATTTGCTTTTGCTTCCTGCTGTCACTTCATGTCACGATATTTGAGGGCTATCAGACATTAGATAGCGTACATCAGACTGAAGCCGGCCGTTCTCTGTTGCATCTGATACTCTAAGCCCAAGCGGAGATAAAAAAGCATGTGTCCTTGTGCTATCCACAGCCATTCATTTCCATATCTGCTAGGCCATTAATCAATGAGTTCCTACATCTACAGCACAGCACCGGCCAGCTTCTCTTTTCAAGAGTGAAACCTAGTTACTAAGGCCATCACTACTGACAATATTAGCAGTCAAGTGATCTACGAATTACTCTGATGATAAATAAAACATGCAGGCAGATCCTTTTAAATGTAAAAATCGTGATAAAGATTTTTTATTATGAAATTCCAGGATTTAGTTGCAAAAAAACATAGTTATGTGGGTTATTTTGACCTGTCATATGTGCATTCTAGTGTTTAAAAACGAGAACCCGTCTATCGTAAGTACTTTGAGATGTAGGCCTACAGAACGGACTTCGTACCGGAATGTGAAAAAAGCTTTTCGAGTTGTGACAAATGAGTGTGAACGTCGTGAATCATGAACGATTATAAAGGCTGTGTTGTCGCTGGGCATTTTTCTGCTAAATGGTGCATCGCAGAAGCAAAGTCTTGGAGATATAACTAGCATTCCTCGTTGGCTCAGCGGATTCTCAGCTGAGACTCAAAGATAAACCTTTTTCCAAAGTTTAAAACCCACTGTACACACCACCAATGTTACAATCAGCACTGACACTGGATGGAATGCCAAACATCATTCAGTCCTCCCAGTTTGAACAGCACAAAGCAATAAACACTGCACACGTCAGAGGCGATTTCATGAATAGAGTACGTTTTCTCCTGGCGCTATGCTGGGAAAAGAGAGAGAATATTAATTCTCTCCTTTCAGATATGAGCAAATCTGCGCTTTTTGCTGTGTGCCGAGCACATTTTTTGTCAAGAGTCGTTATGGGATGTGCCACCGATAGGAAACCAGTTACTTTTTTATTCCTTTTCATTTCAGGCGCGGGCCTGGATTGTTTGTCAGGGAGCAGTGACAGATGGATCCAGACACAGTCACGTTCCCACAATCCTACGCTGCCGATTACTCAGAGCCTGATACCTCTCCAAGCCAAGCCGACGACGACCCTGATGAAACCCGGATCAAAACAGAACGAAATCTCTGTGCTGCACCAGAAGGCAGGACCGTTTCCCTTGCTTTTAAGGTGCAACTGACACAGCCACAAGTCTAGGAAATGAGGATCTCCACTGATATGTCGCAAAGTCTGTGAATTTGGCATTTTGTCATTTTGTTACTGATTAAATCAACACATATGCTATGTTACTGCAAGAAGAGTGATTTCTCTATAAATATGTACATTTTTGTCACTTAAACGTCTTAAGTCAAGATTTCTGCACCTTTGGCTTTCAGAGGAAATATTTTCCATATTTTCTATAACAATACCTATATGTTAAAGAGCCTGTGTAAATAAAAACATATTTTCCTCATTTTTCAGGAACAGAATAACAAATAAATAAAGGTAATAATAAAATGGAAAAAAGAGTTTAGGTAGTATGTAAATTTTGTTAAAAAAACAGCATGTTTTGAATTCTTACATACACTCTTAAAAAAGATGGCTCTTAAAGGGTTCTTTTGTATTGAAAATGGTTCTTTATAGAACCATGAACACTCAAAATACCCTTTGCATGATTAAGGATTCTTTGCACCATGAAATGGTTCTTCAGACTGATGAAGAATGTGCTGTAGACGGTTCTACATGGAACCTTTTCAAAAAGGATTCTATATAGCAACAAAAAGGATTCTTCTATCAGACAATGTCTAGCTTGTAATCTTGGATGCTTTTTGCTCTGGAAACCTCTTCCCTTGGTGATTCTTTCATGCACATTTAAAGAACTAATGGCGGATTTGGACTGATTTCTGGGTCATGGACTGGTGAGCGGAAGAAAGAGGAATCGAGGAGGCACCGATTACAGTTTTAAGATCCATAACTGGAGGGGCTTTTTAGTTGTGACACACGTCACTGATTGACTGACTCACTCACTCACTAACTCGTGTTTAGCAATCTAAAGAATCTCCAAAAGGGGGTGCTATGAGCACACAAGTTGTTTTTGGTGCTCCATAAGAGTGGTGCTTTGCATTAGTGACACTGTGTGTTCTTGTTAAATGAATCACAACACAGGGCATCACATCAAAACAGAGGCCATTTACATGAATCAGTCTTGAAGGCATATTAACAAAGAGCTGGTTTAATTTTAAGGCGTACAGAGAGGCTGGAAAATGGGCATGTGAAAATTATTTATGCTTGTTTTGGGTACATAAACTCACATACAGGTCATAAGTAGACTTTGGGGAAAAATAAAATATAAGAAAAATGTAGCATAAGGCCCTTTTAATGTGGCTGTGTATGCAATGTGAAATACAAATGATACAATTAAAATCAAATCATTCTGCCATCATTCCTGGTCATGCTCTCAGACCACGTTTGCCCTTGCAACAGACTCAACGTTCCTTAAAACAGCAGACAGCAAATGAGAACAGCTGATGCAGCGTCCAAGGACAGGAGCTTTATTTTTATTGAAAAGCACAGAAAGGTAAGGTACACTGGAGTCCTTGAGACAATGAGCATCACAACAACAGAAGCAATGATTCAGCAGCAATGAATCACCCTCAGCCCAAAAGCATCTAAAAATGTGGAAAAGGCCCCAATCAATCTACTTTGCACAACATCTAGGAGGCTGTAGAGAATAGTACTTTGGCAATGAAGGGAATAGTCTTACATTCTGAACTTCAAAATAGCTTCCAGAAAAAAAAGCTTCACCATATTTCCTCCAGCCGCTCCTGTTTGCTAAAAAATCCCTTCCCATTAGGAATAGAGGTGGAAAAAAATTTTCTCTGGAGATGTAATGTAATTTCCACCTAATTATCCAAGTTGACATTTTGCAAGACATGAAATTGTTTCACAATTATGGGATGGCAAATGTGTCAAACAACTATTTTAGAAAGAGACAGGTGGCCCATAGGAAAAAAAATTAAAAAGTACAACAGTTAATTATAGTTTCAAAACTTGTTTGAAAATAGCTTTAAAAGACCAAAAGAAATAATGAGAAACCATTATACTTAGTTAAGCTGAAGTTCGCTCTGGGCTCTGGGTACATTCCTGATTCTCTTCTCAATCACTGATTGGTCATGCTGCAGGAAAAAAAATCTGAGAGACTCCTCTTCCTGCTCAATATTTGCAGGCGTCAAAGACCCAATAAAGTTG